GAATTTGAAAATTTCAAAATGGTTTCATTCTGGATTATAAAACTTCGAAACTATGATTATAACAGAGTATCGTACTCATATATACATATATATTTAGTACAATGTGACATCAAATTGCATAAGATACAATAATTCTTTTAATCTTATAAAATGAGAACTTGCCATATTTATTACATTCGTAAAACATATTTTTTTAATTGGCATTTACAAAATAAAATTATTTTCGTTTCAGTTCTTTCAATAGCTTTCATTTTACTTGAAGTATATTTACATTGAAAAATGCGTATGTAAGTACCTACTAGTATATCCTTCAAAGTTTTCGAAATAATAAGATGATACAAATATATTTTATGTTAAGATATTTATTTAAATTTAATATACCCAATCTTGCATCATATTTATTCATACATGCTATCTTCAATGTACACAAGTATAAACTATTACATGTGAATTTTATTTTAAAGTTTAAACGTTACTGTTAGGCATTCATTTGACATGAGTCAGTGTACCTTTGCAGAGTACACACATTCCAGTTTATACAAAAATAAATATCACGTATTCACATTTGTATAAGAAACTCATATTATTTAAGAATTATATCCTAATTTAATTTTGCATAGGCTACATACATTTGATTCATTATTTCAACATTAATGTGTAATGTACACAAAGTATACATAAACATTGTACTCATATATCTACTGTTAGTGAAGTAGAAAAATTGATATTGCGAGAAACATATAATATCAATATTGTATACTGATTCAATGATTGCATAAAATATTGAATATTATAATAGACGTAATGAATGTAACAAGTAACATTTTAATCACATTTTTAATATACTTAATGACTAGAATATCTTTGGAAAATCCTAGTTTCATTATATAATTAAAACATTATTGATTTTTCTTGGCCTCTGAAATAACGAATTTACGATCTTTTAAATTGATAACAACCACAGTAATATTGTCTACGGAACCTCTGTAAGTTACAAAACAAATATGTAGTAAACAAGTTTACGCGAATATTTAAAACTGTTACAATACTGTTTCATACTACCTGTAGTAGCTTTGCAGTGTAATACTTTTTGCTCCAAAATGAGGTTCATTTATACGTTCTTTAATGAACGCCACAGCCTCTTCATTTGTAAAAGTATCCCATAAACCATCCGATGCCAAAACAATGAACATTGGATTATGATCACTAAGATCGAAAGTTAAAATATCAGGATCAGCAATTACTAATTTTTTATCCTTCAGTGGGTAATCTCCTAAAGCTCGAGAAGTAGCTAATATACCAGCTACTCTCCACACACCATTGAATGTTACTAAACCACCTGCTTTATTTATTCTTTTTTTTTCTCTTTCCTGAAAAAATGTATTATAAAAAAATAGACTTAGTTGGAACTCTGCTTCCACAAATAAAAATATTTACTTGTTGTGGTTTATGGTCAAAGGACAAAGGTATCGCATTGCCTTTTCCATCACACATTACACCTCTTGAATCTCCAACATTTGCTACAATTAATTTGTTATCTTCTAAAAGAGCAATCAAGGCGGTTGTACCTAAATTGATATTATTTTTGTAAAGTTATTTTGTCACTCAAATAATTAATGTAATGTAAGTCTCAAAAAATTGATTACCGGCTACATCCATGTTTTTCTTAGCTGCCTCAACTAATAATCGATCAACCGCTAGGACTTCATCAGTTAATAATCTGCCATAATTTATTTTATTTCCATCAAGATAATTGGTAATATCTATTTTCTGTGGCTTTTCAGTTGTCCTACATGGCCTTACCTTTAAATTACAATGCAAGCAAATTAATTGCAATCATTAAAAAAATATTCAATATATATTATACCTCTCTAGTAATTGGCCTCTGCAAGCTATCCAATTTGTCAAGTAACTCTGGATCAGTTACACCAACATTTTTCTTCATACAATCATCTGTTAAGGATGTGCTGACCGTTTTCCGAAATGATTTTTTGCGTTCAAGATTTGCATCGTTTTTCTCTTCTTTCGACTGCTCCTCAAATTTATCCACATTTTCTGTTAATTGAGTTCGTGATGTTCTACCAGCTATCAGATCTTTCAATTCGATCACCTTTTTATTAATGTTTGGGATAAGATTGTCATATGCGTAATTTGCTGCAAACTGTGAAAAAAATTTGTTCTAATTCTATTTTATGTTCAAATACATACACAATATGAGCATATGATTAATAACTTATTACTAAGGTATTTAATAGCATCACTTGTATATATGTACAATGTACCACAACTATCCTTTTAAATACATACATTCAAATAATAATTATAACAGTTTAACAGTGTAATAATCTTTAAGATAAAATTTATCTATTATTTACATATTACTATAATATCTTGTAGACATATCAATGTAAATATAAAAGGTATAACTTCTTTGACCTAAATGATTTGCTATATGTAGTATTATGTAATATATTCTTTGATTTGCATTGATATCCCTGCTTATAATATATAAGTCTATTCTATGTTTGAATAAAATACTATCTGTTTTCGATAAAGATACATTATTTCTAAATCGTTGCAAGCTCTATTTTATTTTTATTGAAATATTTTGTGAACAGTAATAATTCATGCACAGTAGTATTTGTTAAGTGTTTTCTATAAGCTAAGCAATTATAATTAAATGAAGCATTCACTATATTAATATGTATAAGGATAAACTATATAAAACAAACGTATTACTTGCTCAGTAATAAATTTACATAATAAATGCATTGCTGTCTCATTGAAATCTATCTTTACATTTTATTTAATATAATTGCCACTATTATATTATTGTTTATTATATAACTATAAGTGACTAATTTTACCTTACTCTTTCATTTCTTTAAATCTGCAATTTTGGGTAATGATCATATAAGATCATAAGAATATAGTAATGACTGTAATCTTATACGAGGAATATAACTTTAATGATTATATTACACAAAGTATTTGAATTATAGATTAATTAAATTTCTATAATATCTAAAGAAACTAAATTATCCAATATATTTGAACTTACTTCTCCACCATGTCCATCAAATACAGCAAATAGTGATACACCTGTATTATTCATATCTTCATTTACAACAAAACGATCTTCCATTCGAGGTCTATGACCTTGAACAGCATATGCAGCAATGTGTCCTTGTTTTAATTCCCAACTGAGTTTTACCCCATTGTTAACAGAATCGTTAACTAAGAATTGTAGTTTTGATACCTATTTAAAATGAATTATTGCGTTAATATATTATATATTTTAAATAATGAAACACTGAAAAATTTTTAAATTATATTAATTACACACAAACAAATTTATAATGAATGCTTAGATATAAATAAAAAGCTTATTTCTTATATTAATTTCTACAATGTACCTTTGATGTGGTACGGCCAAGTGTATATTGAATTTTTCCTAATAGCGATCGGCTCCATACATCAACTGCTTGTATGTAAAACAGAATTATTGCCAAAACTGCTCCACAAATTAATACTTCTGGCTTCAATGCGTAGGCTCTCATGATTCTCCAAAAATAACCCAATGGGGTATTTATCCCAGCATTTAATCCAGTGGGAATACCCACCGCAAATTTTGACACCAGCTTCATGTGTGACACATACGTCTGTTTCCCAATTATGATACTTTATAATTACAAATTAGGTGAATTACACTCTATGATCGTATGTTTCAAACTAAAAATAATTACTATTCGAATATTATAATTACTATATCCTACTGTGGATTATTAAACAATTGAATAACAAGTTTGATGTTTCCAGTATGTGTTAAAAAAATAAGAAAACTACTAATAAGATTATGTTCGAATACTAATTATGCGACGTGAAAATTACGTCTTAAAATTTACAAATACTTTTCATATAAAATGACTTCTGAAATAAGAAAGAAGTAAAATTCTGTTTAAATATTGTTTTGTCACCTGATATAAAATCCTGTCTTCAAGCTCGTCATCCATAATATAAGGTGAAAAACACCTTGAATCAAGCCAGTTTTATAGTAAATGCGAGTTTTAATGGAAAATAGATAATTATTTATTATAACACGTCTGTGATCGAATAAAAAACATGCACAGACGTAGCATTAATATTTATTGCGGATAATTTTTACAACTATTTGTTTCAATAGTTTAAAAAGTGGTATTAAATTGACATTAATTTATACAATTTCTAATACTTGCAGCAGACGATACCAAATTTTAAACGTTACTGCAGATTGAAGCTTAGATTCACGCCGTAATCTAATGCACGCGGCATTCTTGGTACATATTCTAAATTCTAAATATATCCTTTATGTTGCTGTCAATGGAATCCATTAGAATAATTTGTTCTAAATATATCTATTTCTGTAACTTCATATAATATTCTTTTTTACATAATGTATTGATAGATAAATGTAAAATTAATAAATGATGAAGTACTTAGAATATGTATTATATGATTGTATTTTCGATACATAATAGTTACGGTATTTTGTACTGATTCTATAAAAAATTATCTCAAGTATCTCAAATGTTTAATGAACGTATATATGTTACATGTAAAGAATCATCATAGAAGTCTCGTTCATTAGTCTATTCTCAAATCTAAACACAATCTTGCAGTTTGTCATATATTTTACAAATTACTCTTTCAGGTTATCTTAAATTGCTAAAAGAGCACATTTTGTAGGTCAGTGAACTATAAAATTATTTTTATTTTAATCCTTACATGTTTATATCTCATGATCTAATTTAATTTTCTTTAAATTACAGTTATTTCCAATATTTAATAGGAATGTAAGCTATTTCAAATAAATTGATTCTAAATTATTTAATTTTACTAAATATTTAATATCTTAAATTTTGGATAGTTATTTTGTGTAGCGTGTACTATCTGAAATAAAATTGTAATGTTCGGAAAGAAGAATAAAATTTAAGGTTTTTTGAAGAAATTAATTCAAAATTGCAGTTCCACTTTCATGATGATTCAAACGAAATAATATCTATATGTATATATTATTTTAGGAATTCAATGTAAACAGAGTGAATAAGTGAACAGAAAATTCTTTGTGAACTGATTATCGTCTCTTTAACATATTAACCTGATTAAGATAGCAAATATAAAATTTTTAAAGTTGACATAATTATTGACAGTTTTCCAAATATATGTAATTTATATTAATATTATAAAAAGAATAAGAAATTAAAATTAAAGGAAACTATTTATTAGTTACTGTACGATGTTTGAAACGAGCATAATATAATTTAAGGTCCGATATATTACATAGGTTATATATTACATTATTCTCGCGATATGAACTCGGTAACTAGGTAACTACCTAAGTACATAGTAAATATGTCATTTTCGATGTGATGCATTCAGAGGAATTGTTACACGATGGTAAAAGAGATCACTACACTATCACAAAAAGAGTGTTCTAAATTAATTTGTATTTTAGAAATTTTGTAACTCTTTTTTATTTCCAATGTTTATAAATAATTAATCCCATTACATAAATGTCATTTGAGTTTGGAAAATACGTATGTAATATCAGAACTGAGAAGCAATTTAAATTTTGCAGCTTCATATATAACGATTTCATATTAGTTTAAAATTATGACAAAGTACTATTTACAATTTCCTCTACAAAATACCTTTATCTGAATACATTTTTTCGAATAGTTAATTGGAAATACAAGAGGGATACGAAGGATGCTCACAGCCTGTAAAATAAATAAATACATGTCTATATACATTTGTGTAGGTTGCTTAGCATAAAAAGATTTCGTAGATTTTGTTTTACATACAATGGAGCGATAGTGTCAAGTACTTAGAAGATCATATCGTGTAACGGGAACATTTTTTCTCACTTTTCTCTTCAGTATGTTAAAAGAGATGGAAAATGATGGAGGGGAGAGATGCGAGTTCCTAACGCATAGGACAAAGTGAGTTCCTATCGCGAGAATACTGTACAGTGCAGCGGTTCTGTTATCCTGAACGCTGCATAGGGTGAGCAGTCATGCGTTGTTACGACGTGAGTTTAGAAGCCGCGTAAATATGGCTGCGGCAATAGCGAGTGGTTATTATGATCGTATGTAATGAGTATGTATAATGTTTGCGATTGTTCTTGTTGGTGTACGGTGATGAGATCAACGTGCCATCGGCAAAGATGAGCGAAAGAAAGTTCACTCGCGGCTTGGGTAAACCAGGCATGGCCGCTCAATTACGAGAGACTGTTTCTCAGGTAGTACGCGAGAGTACCGTACAGGTAGGACCGCTGACATTCCCGAACCGCTACTTTTACCGCTTGATTTCACGTATTAATTCTCATTTAATTAAAGAACAAAAAATTAACAATAATAATTGACACCGATAAAAGTTTATTCTTCTTGACATCATTTATCTTCACATTTATCATATTGTTCATTCATTATTCATGATAATTGCTGTCAACCGTATACAAAATATTCACTAGAAATATTTCGAAGAGAGAATGAATTGAATTAATATTTAATTAATTATTCCTTTGTATTGATTCTTATGGACTTATAACAGACTTATTAACACCAAATAACGTTTCCTTGAATGATAATGTTATTCAGTTTGAAACATCTCCATTTATGGTATCTTATATTGCCTTGTCTGTATTGTTTTATTATTGCCTCCTTGAATTAAGGATGAATTATATACTCTTTTTGAACATCATTGTTTGGCCTATATATTATTATAAGTTTTTTGTTTTTGAACTAATTTTTGCTGTAAAGCGGAAGAGAATTAAATGGAAACTATTATTTATTTTCAGAGTAAGCCACATTTAGTAGAACCCATAGATTTTGAAAGTTTTGTGTTAAAAAATAAAACTTTATTACAAAATGACCCTCAGAGAGAGCTTCTACTTTATCCTCAGGATGATGTCTCAGTGAGTTTCAACTCGGTATTTCTTATCTATTTATCAGAATTTACATCCGTTGTATGAGTAGATAAATTAATATGAATTCATATAGTGGATGTTACATATATTACATATATTACATATATATTTCATTTTATTTCATTTTGCAACATTTTCACATTCTGATAACAAGCAATTTTAATCAGATAATTTTGGAAATATTTCTTTCTTATAGCAAGTAGTATTACCCAGAAGATATCGTACTCTTACACCGACAGTACCACAAGTTTCAGATAATGATGAAGGAGGAGAGAATCTTCTTACAAAAGAATGTTTACGAAGTTATACATCTAACTGGAACCTGATACATTATAAATATTCTGCTTATAGCGGAACTTATCTTGAACTGCCTAAGTATGTTTTCTCTTCTGTGTTAATGAAGTATTTTATGCTAGTATAAATATATAATATTAATTTATATTTATTTAATACAAACAATATGTTCAAAAAACTATATATTGTATATGTGATATAATGCATGTCTAATGCATATGTGATTATGAATATTTTGATTCTAATTTACAATATTTGAAATTCAATCCTGTATATATTTTAAGTACCTAAAAATATATTTTAATGTTGTGATAATGAACATCTAATATCTGATTCTGTTAAATTATACATTCCACTTTCAAATGTAGTTCATTTTAATTTTTTTATTTTATAGAATAGCAAAAGCAGATGATTTAAAAGATGAAATATATGAAATTGATACTGAGGTAGACCAAGTTGACGAGGTAAAATATTTTGCTTTTAATGTAAATGCAAAAACAGTGGTCCAAAAATGAATATTCTTTATTGCAGAGTTTTATCTGGTTGCATGATTAGATAAGCAAGATTTGTCTCTCAAATGTGTCTATTTAAATACTTGTACTATAACTTGTAATAATAAATACATTTAGAGTATTTTGTAAAAAGCATGAAAAAATAATAAAAATCAAATAGTTTGTTTAATTTCATTAGGAATTAACGAAGAGTAATGGCATCACAAAAGAAGGCTATTTGATGAAAGGACCAGAAATTGGAAGCAGTGATCGAATGTTTGCACATATTGGCTCAAAATCATTTAAAAGACGATTTTGTCACCTTAGACAAGAAGTCGATGGCACATACATCCTTGAATTTTTTAAGGATGAAAAGAAAGGAGAAGCTAAATTAACAATAGTAATGGATTTTTGTACTGAAGTTACAAGAAATCCAAAACGTGGAAGGTATTGTTTTGAGTTAAGAATGAGCGGGACTCATAAATCATATACTTTAGCAGCAGATAATGAGACAGATATGCAAGATTGGTTATTAAAGTTAAGCTCAGTATTACAGCATTATAAGCAGCAGGAAGAGAAACGCGCTGCTTCATTAGAAAGAGCATGCAATACACCTCCCCCCTCCCCTCAACCTATGCAAGTATGTAATGTAAAAATAAAATATTTTAGATATAAATTCTGTACTATTTAGATTTGCGAAATATAAGGTTTTATATTGTCATTTATAGGTTTATGGAACATTAAAAGGCTTGGAGCAGAGCATGAATCCACAGTTAATCAAATATTCTAGAGAAACTGATACAAGTATAGCATTAGCTAGACGTGAAAATCGTAAACGATTATTTAGTATTTATCCTCATATTCCGCATAATAAACAACAGTCAGGAAGTTCTTGCGAACATAACGTTGATCCATTTAAAGAGCAATTTGGACATAGAATTTTTGTGAAATGCGAAAGTCTGAAATTTAGATTACAAGCACCAATAGATGAAAAAGAGTCATTGTGTCAAGTGGAACCATATCAAACCACACTAAGTCTTTACGATGCAAGAAATGGTAGAAAACTTGCAGAAAATTTTCATTTTGATATTAATCATGAAGTTGTTCAAGAAATGGTAAAAGAATTAAGTCCTGTTGGTATTATGACAGAATGTACTGATAACGTAAAATTACCGGATGATTTAAAAAGTATACCTTTAGACTGGATTAAATATCCAAAACAGGTTTGTTATTTCAAATTCAGTTTTTATTGAGATCATCTATCAATATTTTATTATCACATATATTATCTTTTGTTCTAAATTTACTTTATTTCTTGCATTCACAGGCCATATTTAGTATTAGTAATCCTCATCCTGATATATTCTTGGTTGTAAGAATAGATAAAATATTACAAGGAAATATATGCCAAACTTCAGAACCATACTTAAGAGCTACGAAAGATCCAAGATTAGGTTTGAAAGTTCATAAACAAGTTAGAGCATGTTGCCAAAGGTAAATTGATGTATAATTTCATTAAAAAATTAATATACACATAATAAATACTTTTTTTCTTATAAAATTCCAATTAATCTGTTATATATTTTTCAGATTGGGAAATTACAGAATGCCTTTCGCTTGGGCTGCCAGACCCCTATTTAGATTATATAGTAATGAATTAGATGTATCATCTGATTTTCCAGCGATATATAGACAAGAAGGAAATAAGATAAAGGATGATGAATTACTAAAACTTCTTTCAGAGTACAGGAAGTATGTGTCAAAGCAACATGAACTAAACTATATATGAACGTTTACTAACACCTTCTTTATTTTAGACCTGAAAAACTTAGTAAATTGACTGTGATACCAGGATGGTTAAAAATAAAAATTGAGTCAATTACAGAATTACCTGAAAGTATGTAATCAATTAATGAAATTGTATATTTTCAATTGACCGTAGTTAAATAATAAAATTGTAAGCCTACTATTCTTTTTCTGTTCTTAGATACATTGTCTACATCCTTAGCAGCTTTAAAACCATTTCCACTACCACCGCCTTCTGAACCGGTTCTTGAAGTGGCAGAGTTTGAATGTACATCAGAAAAAGACGTCCATCCTTACACGACATACATTAATCATCTGTATGTTTATCCACAAACTCTGTGCTTCGATGCTCAAAAAATATTTACGAGAGCCAGAAACATCGCATGTATCGTTGAATTACGAGACGATGATGGTGAAACTGCCGCACCTTTAAGAGTATGTACAATATACATTTATTTTTGTTGAAACATATTTTACATTTAAAAAATCATTTTTTATTGTTAATATTTTTATATTTTTGAATAGTGTATATATGGAAGACCCGGTGCTCCACTCCTATGTTTGCGAGCGTGTTGTTCAGTTTTACATCACAATGCTGTTCCTTCATGGTATGAAGAAATTAAAATACGACTACCGACGAAACTTCATTCTAAACATCATTTACTTTTTTCGTTTTATCACATAAGTTGTGATATGAACAAGAAGAAAGAGAATGGAGTTGAAAATTGTGTTGGTTATGCCTGGTCCCCTTTGTTGTATAAAGGAAGGTAGGATATTATTTTTTAAAGTATTATCGTATGTAAAAATTGAAGAATAACTAAATAAGATAAAGATCGAAATACAGTGTCTGTTTCATATTGTATTTATGATTACAATGATTATTATTATTATTATATAAAGTTGCTTAGGATTGATTTTATTTAAAATGGATTATAAAAAATATATGTATTTTATATAGATTGAATGTAGATATGGATATGAACGTGCAAGCACTGCCAGTAGCTACACATTTACCTTCAGGATATCTTTCAATACAGCCTCTTGGACTAGGAAAAGGGGTAAGGATAAAATGAAAGAAAATATATATTTCAATATTTAACTTAAAATGACAGTAAAATTGAACCACCAAATTAATTTCTTATTTAATTCTTATGAAAAATAAACTTGTTACAACATGCGTTTTAATCGAAAATATTCAATATACACTATCTCTAATTGTTTATTCCTATGTAAGCACTTCAGACATGATATTTGTGTTCAGAGTGAGGTAGACAGTTATTATGCCTGTTAGTATATTTCAGGTCGCTTTTAAAGTAAACTGTAAAATAAAAATGTAAAAAGACCTAGTAATATTTTAAGAAATTTATTTAATAACAAAAGTAGTTGTAAATAATAATTGTTGAATCTATTAAGTTTGATAATACTTTAAAAATTTAATTTTGTATACTTTTAGAATGCGGGACCGGAAATAACATGGATTGACTCTCAGCGACCAGTGTTTACAGTAGCATTTCAATTAATTTCAACCGTGTTTACACGTGATGTACATTTGCATAATTTATTTGCTCACATGGAACGAATTTTGGATACAACCACGGGAGCCGTACCAGCAGATTCAGAAACATGCAAAATATTAAAAGCTGCACATGCGGTACAACTAGTTACTGTTATTACATTTCTTCCTACTATATTGACTCAATTATTTACATTATTAACGCATACTACAAATGAAGAAGTTGGATTATTTATTATAAGACTTTTAATACATTTTATAAATATGGTGCATGAAGCTGGTAGAAAGGAAATTCTTCAAGCTTATATTAAGGTAAACATTTTTCGAAAGTGTAATTATTTGTTACTTTAAAATAAAGTTAGGAACATTAAAATTACATTAGAAGTATATTAATATGTTTCACAGTTTGTTTTCGTATCGCCTACGCAAGGAAATGGTAGTGTTACAGTTCATGAACAGTTAGGAAGGCATCTGCCCACATTGTTAAAGCCTAGTAACACCGACTTTTTAGTCGTAAATAAATTTATGCATCATTCCAACTTCTTTTTTGAAATAATGATCAAAAGTATGGCACAACGATTACTTTCCACGGGAAGAATAAAGGTAAATCGTAGAATAGTAAGCTATTTAATCAACAAAATGAATATATAACGGAATTGCTTTATAGATGCATAGAAATGAAAGATTTTCTAAAGAATACCATGAAAAAATTAAAAGTTTAGTTAATGATATTATGCCCTGTCTTATGACCAAGTATAAGGAGATGCCTGTTGAAACTCATGAATTAAATAAGAGTCTTGCGCAGTTTCTAAAAGTAAGTAAATATGATACATATTTTATATTATATAATATAATTTATGAAATAATCTATTGTTAAACTATGTTTTATTGTAGCGATGTCTTACGTTCATGGATCGAGGATTTGTTTTCCGTTTAATCAATTCGTACATGGACAACTTTTCCCCTGGCGACCCACGTACATTGCACGATTTCAAATTTACTTTCTTACAAACAATTTGTTCGCACGAACATTATGTGTCCTTTAATTTGCCAATGATGCAATCACGAATCACCTCCAGAGGTAAAATTAAAATCGCTACTCTTACTATATTCAGTATCTTCAATTGTGTAATATAACCATTTTATGCCTTATTTAGAAGATACAGAGAGTGATCCAGAATGTGATGGTATGTTAAGATATGTTCATACACTCCCATCTTTATTGTGGTTTGTTACTGTAGCCATAGTGAGTGGGAGTTGCACATAATTTTGTTAACATTGATCACCATTGATTACTAGATTTATAGAAAATATTTTCATGGCATTCTTATTTATTGCTATGCAAGCTTGGTTTATTATATCACTGACATATATTGAGAACAGAAAATTTCTAAGTTAATAGAATATTTACTGATTGCACTACATATGTAGTACACGTATAACATAGATCTTACATTCACAGACACTCACACTTTGTATGTTTTTTAAACATATTACCATACAATATTATGTAAATATCAATGTTTTCTACAATTTTACACAAACAGAATGCACGAATTTTCAAACATTTTATAAGCACAAAATTAGTGGAATAATTATATCGTTATTAAAAGTTAGTCAACTTTAATGAAACATCTATTTTGATGAACGTTAGAAATTAATTACATATAGTCAAAGTTTTATAGCAATTTATTAAATAATTATAATTAAGTTATGTTAATTTCATTTAATATTTAATATTTTTAGGCGGACCTTGAATGCATATATATTTCTGTTTTAATATCGTTCGATATCATTAATAATGAAGTAGGTTTATTAATGTAAAGCATTCGTTACAGATTTAATTAATGAGTATTGCTTGTCTGAAGACTTCTGTAAACACCATTTTTTGGTTGGACTCCTAATGCAAGAGGTTAAAACGTCTTTAAACGAAATTGTACAAATTCGAAAGGTAGCTATAGCTACATTAAGAGATTTAATGGCAAAGCATGAACTTGATGATAGATATCAGAATAAGGTAAAGAAATCAGATATAAATTTATTCTTCATTATAATTACATTTTAAGTGTATATTGTACATATTAATAAGATGTATTAATACAAGTTATAATGTTTGTGTAGGGTCAATTAAGTAGAATAGCGTCCATTTATATACCGTGGTTGGGTATTGTATTGGAAAATTTGCATCGACTACAGTCTGTACATGACAGTAATAAAACGGAAACTAAACAAAATGGAACTAGCAGAATATCAACGAGTAGTTCATTTTTAGCAAACAAAGATACTAATAGTGTTACAACTACTGGAACTCCAAAGTCAATTCACAGGTAAGATTATATACATATATTTTAAATAATATAATTCAAATTGCATTTGAAAATTAAAATAATTTATATAAATTGTTATGTGCAGACTTACACTAAATTTGGATACGCAATCTCCAATAAGAGCGTCCATGCATCTACGAGATTCTACATATTTTGCAGCCATAGCGGGGCAAGGTTTAGTTAATGGATATTCATGCACTAGCATAGAATCAGATACATCAACCATATCTGGTGCTTCACAGTCAAATATATCTCAAGAAACTACAATTGTAATTCGCGAACCTATCGAGAATGGTATGAGCGAAAAAAAGAGACATTCACGTTCTTTAAGTGTTACGCAGTCATCGCCTAGATGCGATAAGTTGCAGTCGTCGGAAGTAAAGGATATTCTGCTCTGTTTCTTATTCGTGATAAAATATTTGGGTGATCATCAAGTTATCGCTTGGTGGCAACAATGTAGCGACTGTGAAATTCTGAACTTTTTTTCAGTGATAGAGTAAGATTATATTACAGATGCAATACTAATAAATTTAATTCTACTGTGTAGATATATGCTTATTATTTATATTTACGTAATATGTATTTATATACTTATTTTTTCAGAATGAGCCTGTATCATTTTAAATACGTAGGGAAAAGACAAATTGCTACAAATACGACAAACAATTGTGGAAAACCGCGAACAGTGAAAGCAATGACGTTGCCAGCCAGAATGGCACCTCCTGATTTTTCCACCGAGGGACCTGCTACTAGCACTTTACAACCTCATAACAGTACTCCCAGGGAAAACCTTGTTGAAAACGATAGTGGTAAAGTGCATCAGGTTCTATTAGAAGCAAATATGGCAACAGAAGCTGGTCTCATTGCATTAGATTGTTTAGGATTATTCTGCCTCCACTTTAAGGTACAATAAATTTAAAGTTTATGAAATATGTGGAGATAATTAAAAATATATATTTTTTTAGGACGTACTTTTAACAGCAAGTGGCGATAATCCAATTATGCAAAAAGTATTTACTATTTATTTATCATTCTTACAAGTTGGTCAATCTGAAACTTTATTGCGCCATGTTTTTGCTAGTTTCAGAGCTTTCTTAAATAATTACTCTATAATTCTTTTTCAAGGTATAAATTTTAACAACGATTACAGTAGTGCGATCTCAATAAAAATAAATAATTAATAAATACAATTAATTTTACAGGAAATGCAATCCTGTGTGGGCGTTTGTGTTACGAATTATTACGTTGTTGTAACAGTAAATTAAGTTCTATTAGACAGGAGTCATGTGCTTTGCTTTACCTTCTTATGAGAAGTAACTTTGAGTTTACCAGTAGGAAGGGTTTGACTAGAGTTCATTTACAAGTGAGTGGAAAGAGTTTCATAAAATTTCATTTCTTGTAATGAGTTGAATACAACAATATTTGAAATATTTTACATGTTCGTTTTTCAACAGGTAATTATTTCGGTTTCTCAAATGCTTGGAAATGTTATCGGATTAAATAATTCAAGATTTCAAGAATCGTTGTCATTGATAAATAGTTACGCTTCGTCTGACAAAGTAATGAAAGGTACAGGCTTTCCAGTAGAAGTGAAAGATCTTAATAAAAGGATTCGAACCGTTCTAATGGCAACAGCACAAATGAGGGAACATAACAATGATCCGGAAATGTTGGTCGATTTGCAACACAGTTTAGCCAATTCTTACGCTAGTACACCAGAGTTACGATATACGTGGTTAGAAACTATGGCTAGAAATCATGCAAGAGATGGCAATTTTTCAGAGGTAGATATTTTTACGTATTTTGCGATGTGACGTTTAAACAACTAGTCCATTACACAATTTTTATACGATTATTATATTGTAGGCTGCTTGTTGTCAATTACACATTGCTGCATTAATGGCCGAATATTTGAAACTAAAAAAAATTCACACATGGGGAGCAGAAGCATTTGATAAAATCTCTGAAAACATTTCTAGAGATGAGTGCAGTCTTAAACTCGATGCTGGTGAGATTTGTATGTTTTGCACACGTTTGTATTATGATTTCAATTTTAATTATTCTGAATATGTTCTCCATCTTGTTAATTATTTTCTTATTATGCATGTAAAATTTGCATGGTACACAGTTATAATTATTCACATTTATGTAATTTAATATAAATTTAATATAAATTTCTAATTTACCATGTTAGACCATTTTTATCTTTATACTATTAATTTTTATAAACTAATTAATAAATTAACACTAATTTATCATGTCAGGTCGTCGTTATTTTCATACCATTAATTTTTTTGTAAACCAATTGATAAATTAGCACAAAATGTTTCTCGTTTTTTTACGTTAACATAGTACTTTATAATTGATATTACTATTTCAGGCGTGCAAGATATCCATTATAACGAGTATTTACTTCTTGAACAATTGGAAGTTTGTGCTGAAATGTTAGAGAAAGCAGAACGATTCGAACTTCTTGGACATTTGTACCGTTTAATAGTTCCTATTTACGAAGAGAAACGAAATTATGAAGCTCTAGCAAATTGTTATTCACATTTAGCGCAAGCATGTAATAAAATTGTAGAAGTTACTAAATCCGGAAAAAGGCTTCTCGGCAGATTTTATAGAGTTGCATTTTTTGGTTCGGTAAGAAAAACTAAACATGAATATTCTACATAACATATACTCAATTATTTTTGTAATTTGATTATCATAAATATGAACTTTATAGGCATATTTTGAAGACGAGAATGGGCAGGAGTATATTTATAAAGAACCAAAAATTACGTCCTTATCAGAGATTTCAGAGCGTCTAAATCATTTATATTCCGATAAGTTTGGCGCAGAAAACGTTAAAATGATCATGGATTCTGTACCTATTGATATAACCAATTTGGATCCAAAATTTGCATATATTCAAGTGACGCATGTAACACCTTATTTCGAAAAATATGAATTAGAAACTCGGCAAACAGAATTCGAACAAAATCACAACGTGTCCTGCTTTATGTTCGAAACTCCATTTACTAAAGAAGGAAAAGCAAGAGGTAATCCAGAAGATCAGTGGAAGCGGAGAACAATTTTAACGAGTAGGTTAATTTTATATTTAAATATCTTCAATTATAGAATTTATGAACGAGTAGTATGAATACTTGTAATTAACCAATATTATGTATATTTAATTGTTACGTTCAAACAGACAAATACAGAAAAGAAATTACTAAGAAAATTGTTGAATTGTATTGGGTTGATGCAAGTTTTGACGTTTTTTTTATAAGAAATAAAAAGAAGAGTATTAGATAAAAATTAGGTAACTAACGAGACTAATAAATAACAGGATTGATGATATCTAACAATAACCTGATAAAATACTCAAGAGAGGTCAAAACTCAATTAAGCAAAAATGTTTTACAAAATATTTAAAACGCGAATTCCACGTTGCCTGCGGTTGAAGGATTTCACTGTATGATGTTTCTTTAATATTTTTAATGTTAATATTTGCAATGTTTCAGCGCAATATTCCTTCCCGTATATCAAAAAACGGATTTTAGTATCTGAGAGACGGATAATGGAACTCAGTCCAATAGAAGTAGCATTGGATGAAATGAGACAACGCGTTCAAGAATTGGAAGATGTAGCTCTTATAGGTCCAACGGATGTAAAAAAGTTACAGTTAAGACTACAAGGCAGTATATGCGTTACAGTCAATGCTGGACCACTCGCATACGCTTCTGCATTTTTAGATCCCGCATTATCTCCTCAGTATCCAGATGATAAAGTTGAAGAATTGAAAGATGTTTTTAGGTATGTAATTCACCTTCATCGATCAACTGCTTTTATTTATTGATTCTCACATTTAATGTGTAACCTACTTTCAGAGAATTTGTTAAGATATGTTACACAGCTCTTCAAATAAATAGTAAGTTAATTACATCCGATCAGCACGAGTACCAAGAAGTATTACGTGAGAATTATCAGAAACTTTGTCAAAGTTTATCATCGTTACTTGGAGAATCTGTTTGGCCTGATGAGCAAGTATGTAATTTTAAACGTAATAGCGCTGCTTTGTTTAGTGCTATCAGTGGTGCTACTAATCATTCGAGTACAGCCTAAAATAAGAAACGTTTGGAAAGAAGTCACCCGCGTAATTCAATTAGCTTTGTTTTTAAAGCAATTTCTTATCTAAATGAATGGTACAAAGTGGGTTACATATTATCCCATTACTAATTTGCTTAAGCACAAAAGTAACTGTGTTATTAATTATGAATTAGAAAATATTGTTACTAATTTAGTAAATCATTACAATTATACATTAATATTAGAATCAACCTATCTTTTCCTATTACTTCGCTTAATGGCAATATATGCATAAATAATGTTGCATAGAATAGAAATGAGAACTTCAAATGTTTGGTTTTACATTATACTTCACAAACAGTGAACGTATACTAGTATTTCTATGAATAGTATAATAATTGTCTGGTGGCCTAATTACAAGGGTTTTACATATTTGACTCTCCGTCATATTCCGACATATTTTTTGTACTATAGGTACTCCTTTTTAATAAAAATTTATACGAATAAAAAGTGAATTGCAGGAATAATATTTAGACATTTTTATCTCAGTGAAAGATTTAAATTTCTCTTAAATGCAAAATTTATAATTGTCTTATACACAATTTTTACACACTAAAAAAAATATATATATATTAAATCTAGTTGAATGTAGTATAGTTTGGTGTTATGCACCTAAAGGGGCATTTATATGTATGAGTACACATTGACTTAAGAATTAATAATTTGTATATTAAAATACGTTACATGCGTAGAATTTAATTTGTATATATTTGTATAATTTATTCTACGTATATGGATTATGTAAAGAAGATCTAGTTAGCAAACATTCTATAATTATGCAAGTATTATTATTAACTGAGAAGAGGAGAATATTTTATGACATTATCACATTTTGAGAAGTAAAATATTTAAATTATACA